AAACATTTTACGAAAGAAGAAATACACAGGGTTCATTTGATAACTCACAATGCAGGAGGGCATGCGGTGCATGTGGGACTGCTGGGTTCAAACCCTAACACCTTTCGCTCCCTGGAACACTGCCAGGATCTTCCCCTAAGCATCTAGCAGGAGTAGCCCCCAGGCTCTGATGGGTGTGCCCCCCTCAAAAACCAAATAAACAAACAAAACCCACATGCTCATGTAGAATAAGCCCATTAAAAAGTCTCCAACCCTATTCATCATTGAATATGCTAATTAAAACCACAATAAAATAGATATACTTACTAGACAGAAAAGAAGGAAAACAGATTATACCAAACGTTTGCAAATACGTAGAGCACTTGGAAATCTTACACAGCTAGGATTATAAAATGATACAACTACCAATGAATGTGATGGCTTCTTTAAAAATTGAATGTCCAATTTAGAGTCTGACCTAATCATTTCACTCCTAGGTACTTACCCAGGAGAAATGAAACCCTATTTTCATTAAACAATATACATGTTTTCATAAAAACCTTTCTTCTTTTCTTTTCTCCTGGTGTTGGGAATCAAACCCAGGGCCTCACATATGTAAGGAATGTGCTCTACCCCCGAGCCACATTCCCAGTCCAAAACATTTTCATTCATTTATTCATTTTTTTTTAGCGTTTTATAATCACTCCTAGCAGAGTTTGACTGTCACAGTCAAGGATCCCCTGATCTGTGGTGCTCTGGGGGCCACTCGGACTACCCTTGATGCTGCTTGGATCATGTGGCACGCAGGATCTAACTCAGGGTCCTGTGATAGATGTCTCCCCAGACCAGAAGTGTCATTTATGGCTCCACCCGGCTCCCTCCTGCCAGCATCATTCCAGTGATCAGAGGTTATGAAAGTTCCTTGTTGTGATGCTGAAACATTTTCATTTTTTAGCTGATGGTGCTTACGTGTGTGTGTGTGTGTGTGTGTGTGTGTGTGTGTGTGTTGCGCCAGGCTCTTGCACACCTGGCTGCAATAATCCCCAAGGTTTACACTTCCTCAGTTGTGGTGCTCTCACGCATGTTCTGGAGGTCGCACTTGAGTTGAGGTGCACCAGTTGTTTTTCTGGTGCTCACCAGGGGTCTCTGCAGTGTTCACACATCCTTGACCAAGGTCACACTTCTAGACTATAGTGCTCACACTTTTTTTATCTTTTTAATATTAAAAATTTTTTTAATAGTGAGACATCATGAGGTACAGTTGCAGACTTACACATTTTTGTGCTTGGGTTTCACTTTTTATTGTTGTGGTTGTGTGGGCCATACCTCAGAGGTGCTCAGAGCTTACTCCTGGCTCTGCACTCAGGGAATCACTCCTGGTGGGGTTTAGATCATATCTGGTGCTGGAGATAGAACCCAGGTCGGCCATTTGCAAGCAAGCATCCTACTCACTATTTCACCTCCCTAGCCCCCCACACTTTGCTTGCCAGGGTGGAAGCCCTGTTTGTGTGATGCTTACACACACCTGGACCTTGTGTAGCTGGAAATTACTTATGACGCCAGGGATCTCAGAGGAACCACCAGGCTCAAATAGGAGATCTGACAGGATTCTGGTTGGCACATGTGGGACTCCAGGTATTTGAATTCATGACTAGAGGCTTGCAAGGCAGGTCACAAAGGCTGCTTCCAGCCTCTAAACTACAAACAAACCAAAATATCCATCAGCCAAAATGAAAGATAATCAGTGGAATTTATCCAGTTAACAAACCGGGGTCCGGAGTGATAGTACAGTGGTAGGGTATTTGTCTTGCAAGCAGCTGTCTCAGGTTCAATCCCCATAATCCCATATGGTCCTCCAAGCACCACCAGGATTAAGTCCTGAGTGCAGAACCAGGAATAAGCCCTGAGCATCGCTTGGTGTGACTCAAAAAGAAAAAAAAAGGGGGTGGGGGAACAATCTGGGGCCAGAGAGATAGTCCAGTGAGCAGGGCATTTGCCTTGACACAGCCAAACCAGGTTCAATCATTGACATCCCATATCATCCCCAGAGCCCCACCAAGAGTGATCCCTGAGAATGCCTTGCCACAGAGGCAGGGTGGGATGGGGGGGATGGAGGGTGGGAGGGATACTGGGATCCGTGGTGGTGGAGGATGGGCACTGGTGGAGGGATGGGTACTGGATCATTGTATAACTGAAACCCAAGCACAAAAATTTGTAAGTCTACAACTGTACCTCATGATGTCTCACTAATAAAAATAAAATATACATATAAAAAAATGATCCCTGAGCACAGAGCCAGAAGCAGCCCTGAGCACCATCAGGTGTGGCTCCAGCCCCCACCAAAAAAAAAAGGGGGGGGGAGGAGCAAACTATTGATACACACACAACCTGAATCTTGAAATGATTGTGCTTCACATTAAAAGAAAAGAAAAGAGTGAGACCAGGGCCAGGATGATGCTCAAAGGGCAGGAGCTCTTGCTTTGCCTATGGGAGCCCTGGGTTTGATCTCAGACTCCAGATGTTCCCTGGAGCATCACCAGATAGATTCCCAGAGTAACCCCAGACAATGCTGGGGTGTGCCTTCAAAAGAAAGCAAACTAAAAAAGAGCAAAAGTGAAGACAAACTGTTTGATCTAAATACGTAAAATTCTAGAAAATGAAAAAGAACCCAAAATTAAAGAAAATCCTTTTTTTTTGGCCTGAGTATAGATAGGAAAAGGAAGGATTATAGTAGCAAAACTTTAGGGGGTGAAGCTTACATTTATTTATTGAATTGAGGTGATGATTTTTATGTCTGTGCCTGTCAGAATATATTTCTTATTTTGTCTCAAAGTTTAAATTTCAGCAAAGCTTTTTTTTTTTTAGGAAAAAAATTACCTAACACTCTAAGCTCCCACTGTTATGTGTTATATCTAAATGGGGGCTGGGGGAGGGGGAGTGGGAATTACTGCATAGGTTGTTGAAAATTTCTAACACTATAGGAGAAAGGAAGATTGGGTACTCGGATATTGGGGGACAGTTGGAAGTCTATCACACAAGTGAATGTGATTCAGTGCATAAAGGGAAGTATTCGCCACCAACAGAATTTGTGGCATGTAACCAAAGGTTTTACAAAAGAGGAAAACTGGCTAGACACCACTGATTTATTGTTGTGGGTCAGGACTGGAAGCATATTGACTGAAGCATTACAGGAGCACAGAACTGAAAGAGTGGGGTTAAGTGGTTGGGACATACACAGAGTTTAGGAATAATGAGGAGCATGCAGTAAGACATTGGGACACTATTAAGCTCAGGGGCCCCAGGTCATCCCATCACCCACGGTCACGGTCCTCCCGTTATTCATCGATTTGCTCGAGCGGGCCCAGTAACATCTCCATCATGAGACTTGTTGTTACTGTGTCTGGCATATCGAATACACCACGGGTGGCTTGCCAGGCTCTGCCGTGCGGGCTCGATACTCTCGGTAGCTTGCCGGGCTCTCTGAGAGGGGCGGAGGAATTGAACTTGGGTCGGTCATGTTGGCTGCGTGCAAGGCAAACGCCCTACCCGCTGTGCTATCACTCCATCACCCAATTCTTTCATTACACCCATCCTCTTCTACCAGAAAAACTATTTTATCTATAAGGGCTCCCCGTTTTTTTTTGCTTTTTGGGTCACACCAAAGATGCACAGGGGTTACTCAGGAATTACTCCTGGCAGTGCTCGGGGGACCATATGGGATGCTGGGGATCGAACCCGGATTGGGCTATGCAAGTCAAATCTAATCTAGTGGATGTAATTTTCTTCCCTTTGCTGTGCATAGGCAACAAGTGAATGCCAGGGAAATGTCAACAGACCTTCACTGCTTAGGAATCTCTGCTGGTCACAGGAGAAAAAGATTGGCTGTTGGGTTCCAAAGACGAGAAAGTGGCCATCTTAAGAACAGAGAAAATGAGGATGTTCAGTCACTAAACTGAGAAATAACTCTTAGCTGTCAAGAAAAATTCTAGGACAACCCAATCTGATTCACTTACATAATTCTCAGCAGATTTTCAAAATAGGACTGGAGATAACACAGTGGGTGGGGTGCTTGCCTTGCACACGGCTGACCTGGGTTCAAACCTCAGCCTCCCAAACAGTCCTCTGAACTCCATCAACTCTGGCTGCTAAACAAAATAAAATGTGGCCCGAGTGGTCTCTGGAAACAGTACTTTTTGCAGTACATCCTTGGACCCTCACACTTACCTGAAGGCCTAGTTGGTCAAGAATCCCTGGGAAGGGCCACTTCCAAGCACCATAAAACAAAAACATCAAAGTACCAGAACCAACTTAAAAGCTTTCCTAGGTTAATATAACCAAAGAAGTGGTCAAGCAGTTTAAGTGAAGCTGCCATTGAAGAGAGTTGACGGTTTAGTTACTGAAATCTGGACCTCACCTTCAATGTCCAAATACACTCAATTCCTTTAAGGACTTAAGTCAATAGTACAGACTCTGCCCCAATCCTCGTATTTCAGTTTTAAGAAGACTGGAGAGCCAAAGTGCCAAACACATGCTTTGAACGCAGGAGCTTTGGTTTCATTCAATCCCAGCACCAAACGGTCTGAGCAGCCTCCGCACCACCAGGTGTGCACCATCACGCCACACCTCTGGCCTCCCACCCCTCCTACCATCCCACAGCTCAAAGGGCTGGACGCTGTGCATTTGGAAATCCCAGGCACCTCCTACAGAGGCCACTCCCCACACCCGAGGCCAGGCCAGGAGCGTAGCTTGGCAGTAGAGAAGCTGAACTGCACTTGTAAAGCTGTGGGTTCAATCAGGAGCGTTCTTGGGGCTACGGGACGTGGCTCACTGGTAGCAGACATACACTTCTGTGTGGTACTAGGTTCTGTCCCCATTGCTATACACACAGTACTAATATATTAGTTATTACCTTGGGACAACTTCAGGAAGGTAGCTATTCATTTTCAACCACTGTACACCTATCAAAACCCTTTAAAAAAAAAAGAAAAAGAGAAACACAGCAGGGCAATTTAGCTCTTTGGAATTTGCATGCAATTTCAGCACTTTTATTCTCCTGGATTTTCATTCTTAACCCAGGAACCCAGAATTTAGGTTTAGAATCACGGCTTTAGAAAAAGCAAGGACCTAAAGCCAGCTAAGACACTCATTTGGGCAACATAAAAATGGGTATTTTATATTAAAATCTCAAAAGTTGGAAATATACTAGCTCGTGTATAGAAATTACAAAATGAAATTAGAAAACAGATGCAATAGTACATTGAAAGGCAGTGTCATCAAGAACAAAGCTGGATGGAAGCTGCGAGTTACATCAAGCACTATCAAAAGCTTTTCAAGTTTTTTTTTTTGCAATAATCCTGAGATATTTTCAGTGACTTGTTTTCCTATTCTCTGATAAAGCTAAGTTAAAGCATGCATATCATTAGGCATTACCAAAATGTTTTACATCAAAAAGTCATAGGTAATTGTTCCTGATTTACCTGTATTTGAAATAAACTTTTACTATAAAATACTCCCTTGAATTGCCATTTCATGTATATCCAAAGTAATAATACATCATTGAGGTGTGATAAAAAATATTGATGTACACCTTTCATTACTTAAGAACATAGCTCATTTTGTCTACGGTTGATTCACTTGATGCTCATGTAAAATGACTGGAAATCTTCTATCCTTAAAAAAAAAAGCAAAGGATTTTCAGAGCAATTTCATTTAATAACTTTTTGATGATAGGTAGGTGAAATTTATGAATGGACTATTCCAGGCGTCCTTATTTATTCCAATACTTGCAGGGTAACTTGAGAATCCATGAGTCAATTATGAACAGTGTGACAAGTCATGTTATCATGGAGTGTGCTATCAGGAACACTTGTCTAGAGTGAACAAGGTAAGCTATAAGTTCTAAGGAGTTCCTTCAAGCAGAAATTTTAAATAATTCCAATATGAATTTCAAGTGAAAAGTACCTCAACAAGCACCTTTAACATAAAAATAATCACTCGAAGAACATCTCAGTCACACACGATACCCACTGACAAAAGGGAAGTGAAGACTATTACAGATACCCAATTAGTCTACACATCTCTTTAAATGTCAAACTTGTCATCTTAGTAGTAGAATATCAATCTACACAGTGTGTGCTTCTGCTAACATTTTTATCAATTCCACAATAAACGTAACTCCAAAAATGTTAACAAATGGGGGGAAGCCAACACCCAGGAAAACGGATTTAATCCAGTATTTATTCCACACTCATGATGTTTCTCTGTAATCAGAATACAAGTCATAAGAACAATCTACCAAATAATTTGCTGATAATCTTAAATAATGCAGCACAGCATTACTTTTAATACTTCTGTTCTAGATTGTTTTAAAAACTCAAACAGCAATCTCCATTATCAATAAAAAAGTTCTGAATTTTAAAAAAAGGACACTATATCAAGCTGTTTCATAATTTAAGTATTTTTCCATTTATAAAAATGCTTTGGAAGCTTGAATCTATCTACTCATCTGCCCCACCCTCTCCCAATTTCACGTTAGTATAGAGTTGCTGCAAGAATGCTAGACTTTAGACATTAATTATTCTTTTAATATAGTACTTTAAAGTCTGAAAAAGAATTCAAGAAAAAAAAGATTACATGTCATGTATTTTTTTTGTTTCAAATAAAAAAGAAAAACTAAGTGAATAAATTTTAGGCATACTATCAGTGTCCCTTTGAGGTAGAATGCTAAAAGGACTTTTGATCAAATCACAGCCTAATTTACACCTCTGCACCAGAAACTAACATCTCATAAATTCTCTCTAAAGTTAACTGTGGAGAGTATTAAGTGGAACATATTAACAAGAGCCTTCCAAGATAATATACAGTGGACAAGAATGTTAATCCTACAATTGCTGCCTTCATGTACATAGAAAGCACATAATTCTCCTATAATAGATATTCAAAACCCATTCTCAAAGTCTTTAGCATTCTATTATGAAAAGCACAGCCATGCTAACTTTAGTACACAAACCATAATCCCACACCTACAAAACAAAAATAGAATTAGTGGCAGTTTATTGCCTTATACAAATTTAACCAACATGGCAACTACGCCAAAGGAATTAAAACATTTTTAGGACATATGTACAGACTGTACATTTCAAAAACAAATAAAAATGCAAGAACAATCTGTGCATCATGTATCAAACTCAACAATTGGGTGAAAACATCAATGCGGTAAACGGGATTACAAAGGCACTTCCCTACACAAAAGAGGAAATGAAAATGCAGCCTACAAGGAGCTTGAAGAGTGCGGAACTACTGCACAATCTCAACTCGGGAGGGGGGAAAGCAGATTTAATCAAACATTTATAGGATTCAATGTGATCCACTTTTACAAAAAAATTTTCACACAGTCTCATCTTTGTTTTTATGTTGTTTTTCTTGGCTCTCTGGTTCTACGCTTTGGCTCCTTCGACGATCATGTTTGTCAGACTGGTCCTTACTATCACTGTGATCTCGTTTGTGAGAACGATCTTTGCTTTTGCTACGCTTTCTAGATTTTTCTTTGCTGGGGCTATGTTCCCGTTTTCTTGATTTTTCAACACTGTCAGTTCTTCCTTGACTTCCACTCCTACTTCGTTTATTTGATTTTTCTTTACTTTCGTTTTTATGTTTACTTGATTTCTCTTTGCTCCTGCTCCTACTTCGTTTTCCTGCATTTCTACTTCTACTCCTACTTCTATGTTTTCGTTCTCTGCTTCTACTTCGACTGTGTTTTTTCTCTTTCTTGGAATCCTTTTTTTCATCTCTATGCCGCCTGTCATCCTTGTCTTCTTTGTGTTTCTTCTCTTCTACCTCACCCCGACTTCTTCGTTCCTTGGACCGTTCTCTTGATCGCTCTCTCTCTTTCTCTCGGTCATTACCTCTTTCCTTATCATAGTCCCGATCTCTCCTCCTGCCCCTCTCATTTTCTTTCTCTCTTTCTCGATCCCTGTCCCTTCTATCTCCTTTTCTATCACGACTTCGACTACGGGTTCTGTGCCTTTCTCTACTCCTGCTGCGCCTGCGGTCCAACCCTCGATCAATACTTCGGGACCTTCGCCTTTCTTTCTCCCTTTCTTTGGCTTCCCGCTCTAGTCGCTGGCGTTCTTTCTCTCTTTCCAACTCTCTGTCAAAGCTAGAAGATCCATGGCCCTCCCGATGATGGCTTCTACTTCTGGATCTTCTTGGGGACCTCCGTGGACTCAGTGATCTTCTAGGAGATCTAATGTTAAAGGGGGAAAGAAAGCAGCACTGAGTAACACGTGAGAGAAACTGGACACTCAGCACCTGTGTTGGTTTAGAACAATGTTTCTCAAATGAGCCTTCTAGTCCCTAGAGGCACCCAGAATACCCCAAGGGATCGCAGGCAAATACCATATAAGCGAAGGGAAGGGGCAGAGCATAAGACCACGGGGTCAACCAGGAAAGGAGGGAAGGCACAAAAAGGAAACGAGGTTGGTATGGGACCCGAGTTGGCAAAAGGTTTGAGGAATACTTATGATACTTGTGACCACCTCTAAACAAATATTTTATAATATAATTCAATTATTACACTACCTCGAACGTCTGCGTTCAACATGTCTGTCAATTTCCTCTGTGCCTTCCTTCCCATCTTTTTTGATTTTTCTGGGCCGGGTTTTAATCTGTTGATCGATATTCTTCTGAACTGGAACAGGAATTCTTGGAAACAAGGTAGAAAACCACTCGAGTTTTGTGAGAAAAGATCGCAGCATTTCTCCAATGGTCATTACACAGCCTCCGCCAGCCTTCACATCTAGGTCCTACAGAAACACAGAAGAATACCCTAGCCGTCAAAAAGTTACTTCAATACATATTTGAATACTATATATAAAAAAAAACCATCTTTGTAATATCAAATACAAAAAAAATTCTAACAGAAGAATCTCAATTTGTGTATCCTTCTAATCTGGTAATGAATGATACGAAGAAATATTTGGGCATAGTGTGTGCATGCAGGTGAGACAAACCCTGCAGCCTCATGGGCATAAAGAGAACTGCTCTCAACTCAAGGTAACATGGATACGAACAGCCCCTTACATTCATTACTAAACTATGTGGAACAATGGACTTAAACTCAATTCCACATGCCCACCAAGTATACATTCTGTGGACATATTTGCACACATCATTCCTAGCCCTGTAACCTAACTACATTATGAACTACTTCAGACAATTCCTCCTGTCTACAGGATATCTTTTAACAACTCTAATATAAAATGGAGCCCTAATAAAACTGGAAGCAATAGCAAACCAACTGCCATGAAGCAGTGAGGTTTCTAATTTAGAGTTATGTAGAAAATAAATAAATGAACAAATAATTGGAAACGCATAATCCATGATGACCATTGTCTCTGAAAAGGGTCATTACCGCATGAAGGCCTTCTTGCTATGCCCTCTCACAGCTCAGGACATGTTAGTCAGCTATTGTCAGTCCCAAACCTATAGTGCAAGCACACAAGGAAAGTGAGATTTGTTATCTAAACAGGAAAACAAGAGCTAAAGGTAAAACTGCTTGCACTCACACACATTTAAGTGTTCAGATAAACAGTAATTCCAAATATAATCGCTGCAGATATCTAAGGAAGAAAACAATAAGTTAGCTTAAATAGAGATCCTCAGATTTGAAAACAAGTAACAGATTAAATAGAAGCATTCAGAATTAAAAAAAAAAAGAAACCTAATACAATACCAATCGTGAAGAGAGACATGGTATTTAAATATAGAAGGGAGAAGCGATCCAGTCTGGAAAACAAAACAACTCATCTAAAAACAATCCGAAGATTTCTTGTCCTCCACACCTTTTTAGCATACTTTACTGAGACATCAAACAGCTCAGTAAAGGGCTCCCAAAAAGGCGGAGATCAAGTCTCCTTGTCTAACAAGGACGTATAGGTGTGCATGTAGTAACAGAAACAAAAATGGAAAGATTTTCCATTGCAACTGTCCTTTAATTCAACAAATGATTTGGATAAAAACTTTTGAAACAGGCTGTCACAGTTGACTTTAAGGAGCTGACGTAAAAGGACTGGCAGGGGCTATATATAGGTAATACAGACCATACCACTGATCTTCTGAGATCTTGGTCTTCACTACACACGCAAATTAAAACACCTAAGACTTGAACACAGCAATGTTTCCTTTTGTGAAGGGATAACAAGCCCAACCTGGTGACAGCAAACTAGATTTGTAATTTTTTAATTCTAAAGGTTTTTCTGGTATGTTTCTATTTACAGACAATGTAACAGAAAGCCAGAAGTTAAGCACATGCGTTGTCATCTTCAACCAATCGTTTAAACTCAGCCTGCTTAAAATCCCACCCAATTTTTAAATTCAGTGTATCTATGCAAATGGTATTTGGAAGAAGTTACAGGATAAGAACTGTAAAGTTCCAAAAAGGGGAAAAAAAGCTGTATTACTCTTCTATACGCATATTTATTCTGAGGCCACGCCAGCTGTGTTGGGGCTTGGGGGCAGAGACTCAAGGCCTCACAAGTAAGTTTCTAAACAATATAAACTTTCTAAAGTTACACACATAAAGGCAGTGCATGTCTTTTATCACCTCGATCTTTACGCAAGGTCCAGCTTAAAATGTTACTCATCATACAATGCACAGAATTAGTTAGAATAGAAAAAATTTCAGTTGTTATCAAAATACATGTAAACACTCTGAACACAAGAAAATAAAATGTATGAAACTTAATCTAAGCTATAGAAAACACACCAAGTCTTACTTAGTAAAAGGACACTAAACGTATCTGAAGCAGACCTTAACTATAGAAAATCCTGAAAAATATTAATCTCCCAATTAAAATATCAGATTAAACAGAAGAAAGCTAATTATTACCCTTGCTGACATACCTCTTCATCATCAAGGAAGGATTCAAACCAATCCCATAGGTCGGTAGGGGGTTGTGTATACCTAGATCAGAAAACGGTATTATTAAGTTTATGTGAATTAGCTTATTTATTAGAAACATAGGTAAATGTATGTTTGATTTACCTTATATACATAAATCCAAGGGCTCGAATATATGGAGAATCGGTGTGTGTTATGAGACCCATCACTTGCTTGCGAGTTAACTTCAGAGTAAATAATTTGTATAACAGGCAAAATGCTGTAGAAACAATGCCTCCTGTTCCAACACCTCGAACCTTTAGGACGAGAGGAATTAAGTAGTAGTAAAATAACCAAGCGGTCCTTAACGTATCAGCTGGTAGGTATTAATTGAACAGGATATAATCCAGAACTAAGAACAAAGCACAGAACATCACTGACTCCCTTCTAACCCTATTCACCACTCATAAAATATTTAAATACGTTATCTTAAAAGTATTTTAAGATATTTGAAACTATTTCAGTTTGCCGACTAGTCATTTGAGCAGGTAATGGACATCTAGGATTTAAGTCTTCGAAATAGAAAGCCACGAGCTACAGAAAAACTCAAAAGATGCACGTACTTCTACTTACCCCTCCGCACATCCCGGTCTGGCCCGCTGTCTTCCTGCTCCCTTTCTCCCAGGGCTCCACATGAGTGACCTGAAACAGAAAAGAGGAACACGACAAACATTCATACTTCAAAATTGTTTTGAAGTATGACTAAAGTAAACTCAAACCCTTAACAGAGTATCTAACCCCAAATTTTAGAAGCCGGGTATTTTGACTATACAAGTGTATAAACCATCTCTAAAAAACTTCGTTAGGACCCCCCTGAAGCTATCAGGGCGACCTCAACAACTTTACGGAGACTATTAAAGTAGCTTTGTGGAGAGTCAAAACATGGAGAGTCAATTCGTGAAGATTCTGGAAACAAAGTCTTGGATGCTCACATAAGTATCTGATAGTACATTAACTTATCTTGAGTTGCTTAAAAATTAATTCTCCAAGGACGTAAGACTCCCAACTTGGTATGTATTTCAAAATCTTTTAAGTATCCTAATAGTTTCAAGTTGGTGAGAATTTAAAAAATTCTGCTTTATAAAGAAAATTCATTTGAAAAATTTATTCTGAAACAGTCAAATTGCTTCTAACGCAAAATTATGGTAGATTATTCATACTTTTAAACACCATTATCGGGCATTGTGTTCATTCCTGATTAAAGATGAAATTGCAAAGGCCACACCTACGCAGATATCTTGTTAGTCAGTGTGTAATTTTCAACCCAATTATGTAATCAGTTTTTAACCAGAATTTAACTATCAAAAAGTGAGTATGACAAGGCATTTTAATATCTAATCAAAGATGCATTATTTTTGTTTACATGGGTACTCTATACAACCACATACTTGAAGATTATCCCTACAATAAAGTTCAAGGGAAGATCCTTATTAAAAACAAAAAAATTAAAATGCTGTTTCATCATCACATTATTTCTAAAATTCCATTCTCTGTATCCTTGTTTGTACTTCATAGTTTTTCAGTAGCTTCAGAGAGAAAAGCTTAAGCACTAAGCTATTTGCTTAGGAGACCCTTTAATGCTTTATTACTTTTCTTTTCCAAGCATGCTGCATAAAAGATGTTACGAGCTGTAACAGAAAAGCTGGCCAAAAGAATGGATGCAACACAAAATTTAGACAAAAATTAGGAGCCTATTTCCATGATCGATCTGGACCACTTGATAACAAAACCGGAGTCGTAAGTCGTTCATGACTAAATTGAAAATAATTTGAGACTCTTAGTTGTTTGAAGTGTGTGCAATCTGAAAATAAGCTTTTCTCATAGCATCAACAGTTATCACCTTTTATTAAACAGAGGCTGTCTTCTAAAAAGCAGAAACCCAATTTGCAACTTTTCAAAGTTTACAGAGCTATTGGTGAAATATGCCATACTGTTATTCATGCTGTAAAAGGTCTTACCTTTTAAAAGTTAAAACCACCACCACCACCAGCACCACTAGTTATTATTCTTAGAATTTCTTACAAATATCGTTGGTAAGAAGATCTAAAATTTCAGTGTACTTCATACAACCAACGTTGAAATTGCTACTCTATTTTCTATTACAGCGATTAGTACCTAAAATTCCTCCAAAAAACCCAATAACTAAACTTGGAATTAAAGTGCATGAGACAACAAACTGAAAAAGATTCTTTTCTGTTAACACCTCCACACCATCCGACCTACAGAAGATACTTTTTGTGGTTTACCAGCAGTCTAACATAAACTCCCGCATCCTCACAAAAAGCCCCACCCAATACCCCAAAATCTGCATGAGAAGCTCTATTTGACATACTTAGATCGTTAAGGTCATCAAGATTCCTTGAATAGCGAAATTTAGGGATCTGGAAAGGGTGTTTTTTATAACTACAATTTAAAAAAAAAAAGACGTTCGGTAAAACTACAGCATTTGGAAAGCTGTTGGGGGAAACCTACGGCCAAAAAAAAAAAAAAGGGGGGGACCAAAAAAAAAAAAGCAATCAGCCGTTCATTTAACCCGGGGAAATGCATGTATGGCGATCGAGCATGATGAATAGTGCATACCTCTACCTGCGACCCTGGGCTGCTCCGAGCCTCGCTGCAAGACTGAGTCAATCCTGCTAACGAAACAAGAACTGAGACAAGAGCGCAGAGAGGCGGCGCCAGGCGAGCTCCCCAGCACCGCCAAGCCAGCACCGACCCTGCCGCAGGAGCCCAGGGCCCGGGTCCTCGCACCAGGCGCCCGACGCACGGGTCGCCGCCGCCGCCACTTACTCATCCTGACTGTCCTGCGGGCCTACCGCGGTGTCCCCTCCGGCGCCGCCGCGACCTCCCCGCCCTCGCTCCCGCCCGACTCGCCTCGAGAGGGGCGGTTCCCCCGCGGGGGTCGGAGCCGCAGGACCCGGGGCCGGCGCCGGCCGCAAGAAAACCCCCCCACGCCGGCCGGTCGGCGCGGGCCGGAGCAGCCCCGGGCCCCGGCGACCCACGCAACCGGGCTGAAACCTGCAAAGGGGGCGGCTCGGCGGGAGGGGCGCGAGCCGGGGCGCTGCAAAGGACCCCCCGAGGACGCCCCCCACCCCCGCCGAGCGGCTCCCGCCCGCCCGCTCGCTTCCTGCGGGAGCCCCGCCGCGACCCCTCCCCCCACCCCAACGCCCCCGGCGCTCCCGCACCTTGAAGTAGATCTCGTCCACCACCTCGTGGTAGGTCTTGAGCTCGTAGAGCTGCACTTTGAAGTAAGGCGACGACAGGATGTTGGTGAGGATCATGGGGTTGAGGTTCATGGTCTTCTCGTTGCCCCACAGCGGCAGCACGTTGCCCTGCTTGCCCGACACCGCTGGCTTCGGGCCGCCGCCGCCGCCGCACTGCTGCTGCTGCTGCTGCTGCTGCTGCTGCGCCGCGGCCGCCGCCGCCTGGTGCTGCGGCTGCGAGTTGCCTGTCAGCGCGGGGCTGTTGTTAGCCATGTTGCGGCGGGCGGGAGGGAGGGAGGGAGGGGAGGGGAGGGGGAGGGGGCCCGGCGCGCTCTCGCTCTTCGGGACAACGGTCCGGGACCCTACTCCATGGGACGCCGTCGGGGAGCGGGGGGCCGCCTCGCTGAGCCCCCGCCGCGTCGGGAGGGCACCGGGGTGCCAACCGGACGGACCCCGGGCTGGGAGACGACGGCGAGAGCCGCGCGGCGACGACTCCGGCAGCAGAGGCGCCAGCGGCCGGGGCTACGCGCTCGCTTCCGCCAACTGCCTCTGGGAATAAGATGGCGGCCCCGGCGGATGTGACGCCGCACGCCCCAGAGTTCCAAGCGGAGGCGGCGGCCAATCGGAGGCGCCCGGGTGGGCGGGCGCTTCCGCTTCCTCGGTGGCGGCGTCGCGGGCACGCTGCGGCAGCTGCGGTGGCCGGCTGGAAACCCGCGCCGGCCGGACTGCCCCCGGGCTTTTGGGCTCGGGGAGGCGGGGGTCGTAGACCCTCTTCGCGGCTTTTCGTTGTCGATGTGCCGGGCTCTTGGAAAACGGGCTGCGAGGGAGGAAAAGCTCGCAGGACTGTGTGCTTTGGCAGATGCGGGATTCAGACGCCCACGTTGTGCCCGAGGCCTCTGACCTCGCAGTTTTGAGATTCTCTGCAAAGAATGGCCAGTAGCCGGGCCTCCCATCGGCTCCGTGGCATTCCTGTGTTACACTTAGGGATGATTTTTGCCCGCTCTCGTCGGACTGTTACTGTCACCCGAGGTCTTAAGAGTTTGGACCTTAATGTGTTTAGCTGCAGGGTGAGCCCGGGGGTGTTTTGCCGGCTGATAAATGGCACAACACCCGGAAGCGCCCCGTGGAACGCGCAGGCCCTTGCCTTTTCTTAGATGCACGCTCGAGTTCTTCTTTTCTACTTTTTCTATAATTTCTAGCGTTAGAATTTCTATGATTTCTAGCCTTCAACGTCGCTAGGCGTTGCGGGTGTGCGGAGTGCAAAGGGGTAAAACTTGGCCAACCTCTCGAGCCACTGTTTTATCCCAAGAGTATTTTGGGGGTGGGGCGGAGACAAAAGATTGTTTGTTAAGAGAGGGCAGCTGAAGGTGCCAGTAAGTAGGTGTTAGCGGGCCTGGAACAGACCCGTTCTGTACGGGAATCAGAAGAGGTTCTTCGAGGGTCAAAAGTACGATTCACAGGAGCCAGGACTTCCTTGAGAAGGGAGTAAGGCCGGAGAGGAAGTGTCACTGTGAAGTACCTGCAGTGCCAAGATGGCGAAATCATTTGAATCCAAGGGTTAGATAATTGCATCCAGGGCCCCAAAGACTGCTTTAAGATGCTAATATTCCTGATATTCCCTGGCAGGGAGAACTGCCAAATGTTCCAAAAATGCAACTCTTGGCTACTCAAAACCTTGTTAGGTTCATGGAAGTGTTTCTCCACATTTTTTTTTAACACGTGTTGCTTGGTTTTTCGCAAACATTTGGTGGGAATTTCTGCAACAATATTGCACATCACTGCCTCAAATTAAATCACTATTAATATAAGTGCATTTTTTAATTATTCAAAGTACAAAGGGAAAAAGCGAGCCATTTTTTTGGGGGGGGGGGGCGGGGTTGTTGCTCAGGGCTTAATCCCAGCTCTACAGTTAATCCTGTCAGGGCTCCATGGACCATATGGGATGTTAGTGATTATGCAAGGCATGATAGGACAGCCTTACCTGCTGTACTATGGCTCTGGCTCATCAAATAAATTATTTTTAATAATTTAAATTATTGTTGAATAACTATGAAATACACAGTTACAAAGTTGTCCATGATTAAATTCAGTCATACAATAGTCCAACATCCATCCCTTCACCAGTGTACATTTCCCACCACCAATGTCCCCTAGTTTCCCTCCCACCCCGCACCCCACCTCACCCCTCTGCCTACCTCTATGGCAGACACTTTTCCCCTAGCTCTCACCCCCTTTTTCTCTTTTAGGTGCTGTGGCTTGCAATACTGTTACTGAGGGATTTTCATGCATATCTTCTTACTGTTGAGCCAGGTCTTTACGTATATTACAGTTTTTAATCTTTCATTGAGCTCACCCAATGACACTCCCCCCCCCCCTTTTTTTCCCTTTGGTTTTTGGGACCATAACCTGCAGTGCTCAGGGTTTACTCCTAGCTCTGTGCTCAAGTAACCATAGGTGTTGGGGTGTGTGTGTGTGGGGGGAGGAGGGTTAAGTGCCTTGTCCTTTCTACTATCTCTGGGCCTCCCTAGTGACAATTGCTAAATCCTACTCTCTCCTAAGACGCTTAAAAAGTCTTTATGGTGCTGGAGAGAGAGCTCAACATCTGAGCATGTTCTTTAATGTAGGAGTCCTGGGTTCTATGGCTGGTCCTATATGGTCCCCTGGTCATCTCTGGGGAGTGACCCTCTCCCCCAGCACAGAATTCTGAGGCACCCCTGAGCAACGCCTATTGTGGCCTCAAAGTCAAAAACAACTGAAAAAAAAAACCCAATGAAGTAAACAGCATATATGATCTATATATTCTTACATAGACATTTATTCTGATTCTGAGTGAAGATCTCAGTAGAGTTTGAAGCTTAATATCAGTCTTCATCAAAAAAGAGACAGATTATGATAGTGTCTCATATATTTAGAGACTCAACGGCAGCATGAGAATTTATATTATTTAAAAATTATATTTCTGGGAGATAGTTTCAAAGGGTTGGAGCACTTGCTTTCTGTGTGGAAGTCCTGGGTTCTTTCCCCAACACGACATGGTCCCCCAGTAGTGCCGGGCCTTACCCTGGAGTCCAGCGCCAAGAGTAGTCGTTAAGCACTGGCCGGTTATGGCTCCCCAAACAATGAAAACAAACCCCTGAGATTTGCCAACAGAATGTTGAACTGAGGGTGCAAAGAGGGAGTGGTGGAAGAAAGGACCTTGGGAGGGTTACTGACACTAGTGGTGGGAGTAGTGAAGTAGTATTGCAAATATTAAACAGTAATATGGAAATTTGTAAACCGTTACATCAGTAAAAAACAGTTGGGGAAAAAGTAAAGGAAAAACCAAATAATGTGTAGCTCTTCTTGGTTTTGTTTTTGCCGTGCTGGGGACTGCAACCCAGGGCATCACACATGCAGCTAAAGTACGCTGTTGCTAAGCTGCACCGTTGGGCATTGTCTAATCCCTTGCTCTGATGAACATGGACCAGTGTGTGTCCATTCTTACAGATTCATGTTTTGGTGTTCTTGGGGTTGATGCTACAAAGGAGAATTGGTGGATCACGTGGAAGTTTGACTCTTAATTTAAAAAAATTTTTTTTTATATTTTAGAGATTACATTGTTTTCTGGGCTGGAGTGATAGCACAGCAGGTAGGGCTTTTGCCTTGCATGTGGCCAACCCGGGTTCGATTCTTTCACCCCTCTCAGAGAGCCTGGCAAGCTACCAAAAGTATCTCGCCCACCTGGCAAAGCCTGGCAAGCTCCCCGTGAAGTATTTAATATGCCAAAAACAACAATTGTGAGACCTACGTTACTGGTGCCCTGGTGCCCACTGGACCAAATCACTGAACAACAGGAAAGACGGTGCTACAGTGCTACATTGTTTTTCATGAAGTCCAAACCAGACCAAATTCACAGTGAATTAGTGTCTATTTTTTTTTTCACTTATGGGCTGGAGCGATAGCACAGCGGGTAGGGCGTTCGCCTTACACGCGGCCAACATGGCCGACCCGAGTTCGATTCCTCCGCCCCTCTCGGAGAGCCCGGCAAGCTACCGAGAGTATTGGATATGCCAGACACAGTAACAACAAAGTCTCCAATGGAGACGTTACTGGGCCCGCTCGAGCAAATCGACGATCAACGGGAGGGCCTTTACCTTTACCTTTACCTTTTTTTCACTTATAGTGTTGATTAATTTTGACAACACAACAGATTTCTGTGTGTTGATTTTGTAGCCTCCTTCTTGTGGACTCTTCCCCCAGCTATATAAAAGAGGGTTCTTTTGGGGCTGTTTGTTTCTGAGGGACAGCCCACTCTAATTGAACTAGCCAAATTCCATATTCTTGTGACTTTTATATTTCCTTTTTATTAATGTGGTGCATCATACTAAGTATTTGCATTTTTCAAACCATCTTTGAATCCCTAGGATAAATTCCACTTGGTCATGGAGTAGCGTCCATTTCATGTATCATTGTGTTTGACTTACTAGGATGTAAAATTTTTTTTTAAGGACCTTTGCATCTATGCCCATCTTGGATATTAGTCTCTTGTGTTTTGTTGTGTTGTTTTTAGTGATGCCTCTACTTTTTATATCAAGGTAATACTGGTCTCATATGAACTATTCTGGAGGATTTCTGTTTCTTTCATTTTCTGGGAGAACTTGAGAAGAATTGATAGTAAGTCCTCTTTTTAAGTTCGGAAGAGCTCAATAATAAAACTGTCTAGACCTGGGCTTTTGTTCTTGGGGGAGGTTTTACTTTGTTTTTCAGTGGTTTCACCATTTTACTTACAAAAATGTATGAGAATTCTACTGAATAGAGTGTTTGCTTTTATTGGGCTGGAGTGATAGCACAGCGGTAGGGCGTTTGCCTTGCATGCAGCCAACATGGCCGACCCAAGTTCGATTCCTCCGCCTCTTCGGAGAGCCCGGCAAGCTACCGAGAGTATCTCGCCTGCACGGCAGAGCCTGGCAAGCTCCCCGTGACGTATTCGATATGCCAAACACAGTAACAACAAGTCATCATGAGATGGAGACGTTACTGGGCCTGCTCGAGCAAATCGATGAACCAGGACAGCGACAGTGACAGTGACTGATGCTTGAATATTAACCATTATAAGGATGTGTAGCACTAATTGTGATTTTAATTTACAATTCCCTTAGACTAATGTTGAATGTCTTTTCAGGTGCCTATTGGTTTTAGAGATACACCTTTCAGGTGTATCTCCTATTGTCAAGTAACTTTTGTTCATTTATGCGGTTGTTTGTCTTGTTATGGAGTTGAATATATTCTATGATCTTAAATAAGCTTTTGTATGATATATGTTTTGTACTTTTATTTTTTGGCCTTATCCAGCAGCTTTCAGAGTTTACTCTTGTCTGGGTACTGAGGGATTACTCCTAGCAGTGCTTGGAAGAGCCTCTGTGGTGCCAGGGATCAAACCAGAATCATCAGCATGCAACGCAAGTACCTTGCTTGTATAACCTATATTATCTCTCTCTGGTCCCATGCAGTGTTCTTTATCCTTTTCCCATCTCTGTTTCATTCTGTAGTTCTACCATCC